AGTCATTTTGTGAGGGGACCAAAGCTACACCAGGAAGTTAAGTTACACAAATCACACAGCCTTTCCACTGTCCCCTTCGCTTCCCTAGGTAGTTGAAGAGACAAAATCAGTCTGGGAGGCTCTGTGTGGTTGCTTCAAATTTGTCTCTTCCTTCCCAGACAGTCCAGATACACACTCCCATGAACACACGCACACAAATGTTTTCTTTGTGAGGGGACCAGAACCTAGAACAGGGGGAAAGCCACTCAGCCTTCGCTGGGCTGCCCCTCACTCCCCTGTGTAGGTGAAGGGACAATATCTGTCTAAAAGGCACTGTGTGGTTGCTTCAAGTCTGCCCCTTCCTTTTTAGACAGTCCAGATACAAACAAATACAGCAGTAACAGTTTCACACAAATACAACGGTAACAGTAACAGTTACCCCTGTTTTGCACCGAGAGATTCTGTCCGTGATGCCAATTTAATGTCAGGATCCGTCCTAGTGGACAGATGACCTGATGGTTCATAGGAGTGATCCCAGAGTGCAAAAACCAACACAGTACAAGGGGGTTTGCAGTGATAATCAAAACAAATGCAGTTTTATTGAAATAACCACAGCAAAAAATGCAATACAGGGATTAAGGGAGAGAAAAAGATAGAGAAAGAAAGAGGGAGAGAGAGGGGGGGATATGGCAAACAATGCAGAGACAAAGTCCTTTGGTCCAGTCCAGTCGAGGGTCCGCCTGCTACGCTGGGGAGATCTCAAAGGCTCTAGCTTACTCTGGGGTTTTTATTATTGAAAATTGTGAGGGGGAGGAAACAAATACAATAGGGAACAGATGCGACAGGCAGTCCATGTTCTCAGCAGTAAGTGAGAGCCATTGTTTTCTTGGTTCAGTGGTCACAACCTGCAGGCAAACATTGCTTTGGTCAGCTTGCCTTCCCCACACCCCCCCCCCCCCCCCCCCCCCCGGGTTGGGGGTTTCAGTCCCAGTCCTTGGAAGGAGGAGAGGGGCCTTTTCAGTCTCAGTCCTTGATGGAGAGGCTTCTTACATCTCAGTCTGTCTGTCATGGTGGTTGTAAAACAGGTGAGGGTCTTCTGTGGGAGACCACCCGAAACTCAGGAGAAGTGCAGCCAGGCCGAGAGGTGGGACAGCTTCCAGAGCTGCTATTGTTGCAAACAGGGCACGGTGCCCCTTCTTAGCATACAGCAAACACACTTGTGAAAATATTAGCTTAACACTGAGCTTTCAGGTCTCAGGGCCTGTGGCGTGTGACTTGTCTCCTTCAGAGCCAGATATTCTAGACAATGGGGTCTTCTCTTCAGTGGTCTCCCAAGGACGATCGTGAGGCAGATGAGGGGAAATTCGGACAAACTCTCACAACCATATTCTCTGGAAAAGCTGTCTGCCTTAAGGGCTCTGCCCACCTCTACTGTTCTCTGATAGTAATCTGAAGCAGAAAGTTCACCACAGACTGGTGTGATGAAGCAAAGAGAGATCAGTTTTCAGCCCCTCTTGCAATTATATTAGTTCAGGAACTGTAAGCACTTCCCAGGACATCAACTCTTGCCTCATCAATGTTCTTGTCTAACTCAGCTTAAAACTGTGGAATGAGAAGACAGAGGCAGCCTTGTGTGGGTGCAACATTCACTGCATCTCTTATTTAGGTACCACTACCTTCCTTCATCACTGCTTTTGCTTGAAGCCACAGGCTCTTGTCTCATGTGGAAACCCTTTCACCTCTTTCCAACACTTCCATATGCATTCCCTAACACACCTCCTCTGCTTCATAAAAATGTGCAACTTCAAGCACTGAGTTTTCTTCCCATCTTTGCAGCATGGGAGCCCAGCTCTATAAGTAAAGTTATGTTCTTGGTGATTTGGGCTCAGTCAAGGTTTATTGGCTTAGCAAACTGTTATCAGCTGAACTCTGCTTCTCTCTGCATGTTTGCTGTGAGGTGATGCAATGTACCACATGTTTGAGCACAAGAGGATGCTTTGCATGGCCCAGTAGCTCAGCCAGTGTGCTGTTTGTCCTATTGCTGTAAGACAGGAGGAGGGCTCAGCTCTCTGCCAGTGACACAGGAGAGGCTTGGAGGGAAAAGTTTTAGCACAGCCTGACATGGAATCTCTTAAAAATTGGTGTCAGGAACAAAAGCCAATATCAGCCCTAGCTCTGCACTCCCACACCTCATGCACACAAATACACACATGTGCACACCATCTAAGCTCTTAAAATATAAGAGAAGGCAGGGCTATAGGCTATACAGCTGATCAGAGTAATTTTTCTGAGGCCACATGAATAAAAAATGTTGGTGTGCGCAGCAGTCTACATGAAAGTACATACACAGGTTGTCTTCCCTAATTTCCAGCTCTGGAACAGGAACTCACATCTTTATTTTACTCAGTTTGTGGAACACCTTGAAGGGGGTGAGTGAGAGCAGCAAGAAAGAGGTTTTAAAGACAAAAAAGAAAAAATTTAATTCCAGTCTTTGTTCTCAAGGTCTTCTTTTGAAGTTACCTAATGAAACTCGGCTACATGCTTCTCTTTAACATGGTTAATGCAGCTGTCAGGTTGGAGAGGGAAGGAGCTAGTATAACTGAAGATTTAATTTTGAACTGTGTTGTAAACTAGCTTTCATAAAACCCAACAACAGCAAAGTGGTTCATTATGTTTTAGAATGTCTGATGTAAATAAGGTCTCTGAGTGTGTGTGATCAATCTTACCAAGGGCCAAAATATTTTGCTGTTCCCAAGCTTGATTTGCTTGTTCAAGCTGAATAAGCTCAGCTCATATGCATTTAGAAACTGACTTGAATTTTAATTTTATTATAATGTCTAATTGTGCCTGTTGTGGTTGCCTCTAATTCCTACCAAGTAGCCCCTCATCTTTTGCAGAAAGACTCTAGATATTTTATAAAGTTATTGACCAAATCAGAAACGTGCAATCAGTTAAGGCAGAGTTACTACACCCAATGTATGAAAGAAAGAATTTATTCCATTGCCGATTATCCAGGGAGGAGGAAAGGCATATTGCAAACTTTGCTGCAGAAAACAGATGTTTTCAAAGTTTTAGTCCCTTTGTTTGACCATAATTATTTACAATCTACATTGTTTAACTTCCATTGACACTTACTGCTTCATTCACAACTTCAGGGAGAGAGGAGACTGTGTAAAGGAGTAATTCCAAGGACATGACTACTCTTTATTTTAATGTTGTAACATTTTATGTATGATATGAGTGAATTATTCAGTGGTACTGAAAATGTAACTCCTGTGATCCATTTATTTTGTCTGTGTACATTAATCAGTTTCTGTCTTATCCTGTTCACAAAAAACAACCCGCAAAAAAGCACCTTAATATTAGAAAAATGGTGTAGGATGAATGTTGACCAGTGGTTCAACTGACCTCAATGTGAGTTCAATGCATAGAGCTTTTAATTTTTCTCTTCTTCTTACCTGGATTAAAAAGAATAAAAACAATGTCAAAACCACTTTAAAAGTCATGGCTGAGTTATATGTATTTGCTCCTGGTATCCAAGAAAAACAATTTTCAAAGTTTGAGTGTTGAGTATGGAGCAGAAGTGACAGAACAGTTTGTCAGTGGAGAACATTATATAGAGCTATTTAAAGACTGTCCTCGACCTTTCCACCTCTTTTAAAACCTTGTGAGAGAGATTTGAACTTCTCTTTTGCCAGTGGCCTACTGTCAGTTCCATATTTGTGTTTGTTCTCTCCATGCTATGGATGTAAGAGCACATTATGGAGAGATCTTCCAAATCCTCTTTTAAACTCTTGTCTGAAGAAGAGCCCTGAGATTCAGCCAGGTCAACCTTGGCACTTAAAGTTCAGAGAAATACTTTTCTTTCCTTGATCTCCTCTTAAGCCAACTTTTCACAGTTGTTGGATTGAAATCTGACCTCTGTGAAGATAGTGAAGGTTTTATTATTGGCACTGATGGGTCAAAGGTTTTCAATACTTTCTAGATGTGAATTTTCATCTGAGATACATATGTATATGTATCTATATATCTCTATATATATCTATATCTATGAAAATACTTAGGCTGATAAATTACTTGTAAGGCAAAGGTTTTAGATTGTTTGTAAGCAGGATTCTCATATTAAAAAATGTAAATATTATTCATTATATATATATATAATGTAAATATTTCATATTAAAATCATCCAGTAGGAATTTCGTCCATGGATGACATGTTACAAAGAGTGCTATTTTCAACATAACATTCAGGGGAAATGAAGTACTGATGGTACTTTAATGTGCCAACTTTTTCAGTGCTCACTCTCTCATGTATAATGCCCCAAAAGATAGTAAAAGTAGGTGCTACCACAAAGGCACTGTTGATTGCTGGAAAATAATTTATTTTATATTGAGGAATCCTACAGAATTCCTGATCTTTAGCTATGAGTGTAAAATACAGAAATGGAGCCAGAGCTAAGTTACTACAGGGAGTTTTGGTCATTGATTTATTTTCTCTTATTCTTACCTCAGCACCCTCATTTGAAAAGGACCATAAAAAAGTTAAATCAATATTGTATTCACAGAAAATAGCCCTCAACTGGGTTTATGTAGCTGTTGATACTCACATCTGGCTCTTTTGGAGGTGTCATTATATGTGTTTCTGTGTCAAAAATGGTGTAATATGTGGGGGGACCAGCTTTTATTTTGTGTCCAAGTGGGGTGTTTCATCATTTAATGAAAAGATGGAAAGTAAGAGCACAGCTGATTTGAAGCAATTTGGAAGGAGTTTCACAAAATCATCATGGGTGAAATAGCACCTTGTTATTGCAAATCTGCCTTTAATATTTACTACTGTAACATTTGTTCTCTTGTAGTCTAAACACAGTAAATATAGTGATCATTGAAAATAGTTTTGGGGTTTTATTAACATGTTTATGGTGACTGTACCTATCTATCAAGTATTCTTATTCAAAATATCACTTTTAACAATTCTAAGTGCTAACTGAAAACAACTTTTTTTCTTTATTCCCTCCTTTGAAGACAAAGACAGGGGTTTGTTTGCTGCAGGATGGTAACCAGGAACCTTTCAAAGTGCGACTGCACTTAGCCAAAGATATTTTGATGATCCAGGAGCAGGATGTGATCTGTGTGTCTGGTGAGCCTTTCTATTCTGGTGTAAGTAGTTTTTATTTCTTCTTTAAGATGTTCTTTACAAAGAAACAGTGCTGTGTGTATGTGTGTGCAGGTGCACACACACATCTTTATGCATGTTCTCCCATGGATTGGTATTTCATTTTACATTGTAAACACTAAGTGTATTTTAGTGCTTCTTTTGTGAGTAAATATTAGCAATACTCATCTGAGAAGCAGCAATGAGATAATAAGGCATATGCATGACTGCAGCACTGTTTCTCTTCTCTCACCCTTGGGTTTTGGAGCCAGTGAATGTGGGAGGAATGACATGAGCAGTGGTTTTTGCAGGGAGTACAGATATCTCAAAGTACCTGTATCTAAGTATTGTCTGAGGAGGTGATAAGATAATTATGTCAGGGCTTTGCTGATAGAGGAGTTCCCTTTTATCCTCTGTTGGTTGAGTTCCTTCCTGTAGTAGGCCAGCACTAGACTTCAAGAATGCTGTGGGAGTCACTATCTTTAACAGCATGTCATGTTAACAGAGATGGAACAGAGGGATAATGGGCTTTATGTATCACTGTTTTTACCTGATGTGTCACATTCCTTATTTAAGCATCATATTGAATTTTGTGCATGAGAAACTACAATTATTTGGAAGATCTGTAAAATTTTATGCAGAATAATACCGTAGGGTTTAGAGCTATTGTAATGCAAAGTTTTTATTTAATATTAGGAGATAGGTACAAAAATAAATCACTTAGTATTAATTTCTGTATACATTTTTATAGATACTGTAATTATATTTTGTAGAGATCTCCCTTTAAGCTAAATAAAATGATCACAGAATTTCATGTTAAGTCTTGTGAGGCACAGTAGTAGAATATCTGTTCATAGAAATGTTTTGTTAATGCTATTATGTCTGTTTTATTATTTAATTGCTGCTGTTGCCACCTACTTGCATCTCTAAACACAAGCACGATAAAAAGATAGAAAGCACAAATCAAAAATAAATTGGTAGAATGTTAGCAGTGCAAAGAGTGTGAAAGATTAATGAAAAAATGTATCAAATTATCCTTCTCGTGATTATGAATATGTCAAGGTGAATTCTTCGGAGCTTTTCTCTGAAACAGGAGGAACACATTGCTTGAAGTCTCCATAGAGTCTGGCTTTATTTGCTTGACAAATCTGACATTAGCTTCTGACTGTTTCATGCTGAACAAAGGCAGTTTGCTAATACAGGTCTGTATTCTTTATGTAGAATATGGATGCTCCTTTTACCAATCAGAGTCACATGTTCTTCAATAGACAGGATGTCCAGCAGCCAGGATAGAAAGAAGTTTTGAGTTCAAGCTCAACCCGTAGTTGTTCAATTAGCAACGTACACTGTGGCACCAGTATTTCACCAACACCATTCTGACTTTATTTATTAAAAGATTTTATCACTCAGAAATATGACTTTCATTATTCTGCTGTAATATCTGTAATATCCTGCTGAACTTGTTATTTAAATGTCTTCATGAAATGCATATTAATTTTTTTCCCTTTTCACAGCAAGGCTTTCTCTTACAGTATTTCTCTCCTTAGTTTTGCAAAGGCTATGTAGAAAATAATGGATTATTTGCTTCCCAAGTAAACTCCCCCATGTTATTTGCATATTAATGCATAACTCATTAACTGATTGATTTTAGTGTGTTGATGCAGAGTTTATTTTCCTGGCAGTGTCGTTGTTAGTGACTTTTGAGCACTTTAGTCTTATTTCCTTTAGGATTTAGACTAGTTTTTTTTACCAGTATGTTCATTCCAAATAAGGATGATTGGCATTTCACAGACAGTTAACTGTCCTTTTGTCACAGGTAATTTGAATAATCTGGAATCATGTACCTTGATTGTATACTATAATCACAAAAGTCCAACAGGCTTCCTTTTTTTTTTTTTTTTCCTATTTTTCCTCAGTTTTATTCCTGATTTATTAGGTTTAATTTGTTTGTTTGCTTATTTTTCCTATGTTTTACTTTGGCTCATTTTGTTCTGTTCTTTCTGGCATTCTAGATAACTGATTGCATTTATGTTTCCTTTACCTGAATTCTACAAAGCAAGGGATTTCATTGGCAACTGACACTTAATGCCTCAGAGAATGAAATCTTTAAGCATAAAAATAAAATTTGTAAATGAGGAACAATAGTATTGCTAAATTTTACAGACAAGTAGCTACAGTAAAAGTAATTTTTAATCTGTTTAAATAAATAATCTTTAAATGATTCATTTATAAGGTTTTGCTTTATCGCTGCTGCACTGGTATGGAACGAAAGGCTATTACTGTGTTTCTAGCTCAGAACAGTGTCTCTTCTGTTTGTTCAGTCTGAATCAATTTGCATGCTCCTCTGTGTAGGACAGTCTTTAAACAGGCACTTAACGTTCCAGCAGCATCAAGATCTGCATCCTGTGGAATAATCTAAATAAAATCAATGGCTCCTTAGGAATGAAGTGCTGTTTAATGTGAGTGTATGGGATAATGACCTGGTTCTTAATTTGGAACACTTCCTTTTGGTGTTAGACAGTTCTAGTTTCCAAAACTAAAGAAGCGCAAAGAAACATTGTTTCTTCTTTTGTTGTGTACAGTTTGGAGTAAGAAAATAAAATTCATAAAAGATTATAAGCAAAATAAATAGTGTTATACACTAAAAAAGGAAAGCATCTGTTTCTTTAATGGGCTGAAAAAAACAATAAGCATTAGTGAGGGTTCTGCAGCAATTGTACCTATAGCAATTCCATACAGCATCAACCATCATTCAAATGATCATGGACTACATCTAAATTTGAGCATCAGTTGCATCAATAAGTATTAAATATATTTCTTTTTGTGTGCAATAAGAAAGTCTTGCTTTCCAAGAGAAAGAAGTGTAGCGGGTTCAGCATTATGCTGCTATGCTGCTAGCAGATATCCAGTGTAGATTTGAGCTCCAGTGCAAATGACCAAAAGTGTGATGAGAACATATTCAAAGTGTAGAAGGCAGTGTTATTACAAATCTAAATTAAATCCTTACCTGTAGAGAGGTTTTATGTTATGGGCAGTGTATGCCTCAGTTGGAGTGGCTTGTGTTGGAAGATAAGACTGCTGTCCCTAGGTCAGGTAGAACCTTTTTCTCCCAGAGCAGTTACTAAATGTCCTGAAAAGAGTTGAATTGAACCATGTAGGAACATCATCACTATTCATGGCAGAATTTTAGAATATCTTTATCTATTCTTTTAAGCATATTTCTTTAATTACTTGAAATTATGCTCACAAAAGTTTGCTGTATGGTGGTCCACATAAGAATGTGCAGTGAGGCAACTCCCGCTCTTTTTAGACAGACATTTAAATAGCCTGGACTAACCAGAATAGCCTAATGCTGAACTTGGTGAAAATTATGATGGGAGAGGAGATAGCCTAAGGTATGGCATATCTGAGGAAGATTTATTCCTAAGAAAGGTTTTAATATTTGCCATTCCAGAATCAATGATTTTATTTTAGAGTTAATCCTCACAGTTTCTATTACCTTTCATGAACATCTGAAATTCAAGGAAAAGGATTATTGTGCTATATTAAGATAAGCAGTTTATCTGTTTAGGAAGCTGTGGATTTTTGCTTCTTTTCTTTAATAAATTTCATTCATTAATTGTACTCAGAATTTTTTCTACACATAGAGTCTATGTGCATGTGAGATCCATAAATTAAGGATATGACAATGAACCATGTGACAGAATGGATGATTTGAATCAGCTACTCTTTTTTCTAAAAGAATCAAAATAAACTGCAAGCAGCTGGCAAATCGTTAGCTAACAGGATAGTTTGTATTTCTACAAAATATTCTTAAATGTTCTTTTAAATGGTCATAGATTTTACAGAATACTGCTAACTCACCTGATGATAACGTACAGATGAGTCACATCTCTTTCAAGTAATTTATTTCTATGCTGCTGTATAGTAAATGCATTAATTAATTAAAGATTAAGAAGTTCTTTTAGTGGTTTGATTTTTTAATTAAACATCTTTGGGGAAAATTTGTGTGAAGGTCAATCATAATTCAATACTAATAAAAAATGAGTGAATGGTTTTTGGGTTTTTTTGTGAATTGATAGAACAACAGTTCTCGGAGCACCGTGGCATTTGTCCAAGCTTTTAACTGAGTTTGATACAATTGTATCTAAATGTAACCTATGGGCTGTAATTGGTTTTGTGATTAAAAAATATCAATAAACACCTTTACTAAGGCCAGGATGTAACACTGTCTCAAAATGTTGCACTGCAGCCAGATCTGTTTTCTGATGTTGAAAACCACACAGTCTTTTTTTTTTTTTTACTGGAAGCATAAAAAAAATTAATTATGTCTCACTTTTAGGGTTGTCTGTATGCTATTGTGACATCATGTGCTGAAAGATTCATAAATATATACAAAGCCCATAAAGTATTAAAAAAATGTTATTAGAGATTTTCTAACTTTTTTAGCTTTGTATAAAAAAAAGCCTTTTAAATTAAAACTTTACACAATAGATATTTTTTTATTTTAAAAAATTCAATAATTAAGTTATTAATTTTTAAGAATAAATTTAAATTCAAAACACATCACTTAGGAATGACATGCCTGAGAAGTCACATTAAGTTATTACATTTTCCTTGCTTGAATATTTAATTTTTTTGAGATTTTTTTGAGAATTAATTTTGTATTTGTTATATTGGATCATTCTCTTTTGAACATTATGAATTTTCTTGTCCTATATTTTAGTATTGCTAAAAAAGATTCAATTAACATTAGCAATTTAATGAAGAGAAATAGAAGGAAAAAAATTAAAAGCTTAAAATGGTAAATTATAGTTTTGACTTATTTTCTCTATTGTCTTTATTTACAATTTTGATTCGGATGTTTGATTGAATATTACAAGTAATGCCAAAATGGAACTCCCTGTCTTGTAAAGAATTGCAAATATGTGCACAGATAGGTCACCTTTCAAACACTTTCCATTCTTGTTGCCTTCACAAAGCTACCAGTAAGAATCTTTGGCTT